TCCTCTCTAGGAGTACGGGAAAAATATAGCTTCTAAATCTGGACTAATTTATTCATGTATAAGTACACATAAATACAGTTACATAAATTATCATACACAGCAGCATATGTGTGGATTACCCACCAGGATAACCCAAGAAAGTCAGACGAAGTGACTTATTTCCATTGAGATCCTTGGAAATGAAAGTTTTTTTTTTTTTTTTTTTAAAGAGAGAAAAGGGAGCAATATGCTTCCATTATCCTACTATCCAATCTATCCTTACATTACCTACGCTATTTGTGCTTGGGGATCCACTGCAGCCAATCACCTTAAGCCAATAATAACTCAACAAAAACCGGCAGTACGGGTGATCACTCTTTCTACTGCCAGACAACACCACAACTGTTCCAAAGCCTAAACCTACTCAATATAAATAACTCTTACTACTGTTCTTACTACATACACAGGACAATAGACTCTAATATTAATCCTGGCCTGAAACACTCTTTTTGATAGTTGCCACAGAACTCACGGGCATAATTCTTGACAAACATCTCATTGATATTCTCCGTGTACTCACCTAATTGTGGTTGGAGTCCAGACTCAGCTCCTGGACCCGCCTCTTCACTGGTCACTACTAAATCCTCTCTCTCTCTGTTCCATGAAGTTTATCATACCTCGTCTTAAAACGATGTATGGTCCCTGCCTCCACTACATCACTTGTCATACTAATCCACTTCCTAACAACTCTGTGGCTGAAGAAATACTTACTAACATCCCTTTGACTCATCTGAATCTTCAGCTTCCAATTGTGACCCCTTGTTTCTGTGTCCCATCTCTGGAACATCTGTCTCTGTCCACCTTAATTATTCCTTGTAGTTTTTTGTATGTCGTTATCATGTCTCCCCTGACCCTCCTGTCCTCCAGTGTAATCAGGCCGATTTCTCTTAATCTTTCTTCGTAGGACATTCCCCTGAGCTCTGGAACTAACCTTGTTGCAAACCTTTGTACTTTCTCTAATTTCTTGACATGCTTGACGTTGGAAAAAATATGAAGGACAATTAAATATTACTCACCAAATTATGATCTTGATGACATATCTTACCTCCTCCCTATCGGTAGGTAAGTAATACTGGCCAATAAACAATTACGTTACTTGTTGTGTGAGAATTAAAACGGTGAGAGGCGAAAACTCGCTATTACCATCCTCGCTGTGTTCAATTAATCCCGTTAGCGCTGCGTCTCATTTTCTGTTATTATCAACATCAATGTGACAGTTATTTCACAGATCTGGACCTTCCCAGATGGCCAGATACACTGTCTCTTCGTTTATCCCGACGTTAAACAACTATGGAAAATTTTATAGGGGTGATTACTTGTACATACCTCAACATTACATGCATACGAGTAATCTCATTGGGAGACAACAACTATATTGTTTACCGTAGTCACCCCGTGTAGACATGTGAGAAAACTTAACAACCTCTGGTCACTGCAGGTGGCCTCTCGACCCTCACAATCTTATCCATATCTATCCGAGACCAGTATAAATTGGATAGCACCCTCAAGTACGGCGCTACTAATTAATTGTGGACTGTATAGATTATATTAGTTTAACTGAATAAGGGGGGGGGGTAGGTTACACATGGATACATCCATCAAGGAAAAACACTTGTACATAATCCCACCACTTACCAGATATTCTCTGGTGGTCACTTGATGTGGCTGGATCACCCATAACCTATCCAATTAAAACATACCTAACTGGCCAGTATCAGTCTGCTATAACTAGAAAGGTTACTTAACTGTGGGTGATTGATGCTCCTTATTTCCTCCATTCACCATCTCATTTCGATGTCCTGCTACACCGACACGGTTCTTATTCCAGCAGGACGAGGTATCCGTTGGTTTGTCCCAGTTTAGAAGTCGTGATTCCATAAAACTTCACTATCCTCGGGACGAGAACCATGCGTTCACTCGGAGCAAGGCGATTTATTTCACTTCCCGCATTCTCAACTTAATGTTATTATCACTGATTACATTGCCATTCACAAGACGATTTAACGTCTCATAATTATTATACACATTAGAGGTCACTCCATTAAGATCTGAGACCGATGAGTGAGGATTAACTCACGGGTAATTTCCCCTGGACACATTCCATGGCGGCGCACCCGTCACCCCCGGTCCTACTATTATCCACTCATTTTACCACTTTATTATGGTGGTCACGTAAGTCACGTTCCCTCACTCTTCACCAGGAACAGTTACGACACTTCCTATTAGGAAGTGAGGCCTATATTAATCCTTAGGCCGCCGTGTACGCCAATTTCCTGATCCCATGTTTTCACAGCCTCCTAACTACATTCAAAACACTGCCGCCAACCCATGCCCTGAGTCGACCTTTACCCCCTCGCACATCAGCGCAGGCGCAGGGCAAACCCGGTTGGTTCTATTCAAAATACAAATACATTTTGACCCAAATCAACACATTAAACACTTATTAGGCACTATAGCTTCGGAAATTAAATAATTTCCACAACAACATTGCCGATATCTTCTCTATCGGCTCCGATTACATGGGATTAAATGCCTACAAATTCCAGTCGGTTCACCATTACACCATATTGCAGTTTTTCCCCTCAACGTTATCGTACACAATACGTCTTTTCTCTTAATTCAATAACAATTCCAGGTTTACCTGGAGTTTACCTGGGTAATACATTGTCATTATTCGAATATTAATTTCTTTTCAACATTATAAGAAGTACGTTTTACTTAACTCATTACCATTAAAAAAAGAGTAAATTATAGGGGATGTTGACCTCCCTGTGGCCTAACATCTTTTAAAAGTCACATCAACGCTACACTAAGTTATATAAACATTGTTATCAGTTTTAATTATTAAACTAATTACAGGAAAATCAAAAAAAGTCCCCGGTACGGGTGGAAACATTAGGACGTGTTGCCTTAACACACCTGCTGTCCATGTTGATCTAGCAGTGAAACAGGTACCTGGATGTTAGTGGACTGGTGTGGGTAGCATCCTGGGAACAAAATTGACCTAATTTGAGGGAAATGCTTTGCAAAACAAGTGACTTTCTATATAGTAGTATGTCGATGAATGGTTCACAGAACCGACACGTTGATAAATTAGACACATGTGCAACTCTTGGGTATCTTTATTAAGGAAACGTTTCGCCACACAGTGGCTTCATCAGTCCATACACAAGAGAAACTTGAAGAACAGGAGGAGAATGAGGTGATAAGTCCCTCAACCTTGAGTCGATGTGGTCAGTCCATCAATGTTGAATAGAATACGGCACATGAGCGGAGAAGCAGCTTATAAACCGTAGGCAGGAGAGGTACAGCAGTCGTAGGTGGTGTCACATTTGCCCAATGTGGAAGTAGGTCGTGCCCAAGGGTTAGGCAAGCGAAGAATTCCTAAGTATTAAGATCCCAAGAAGTTGCAGTGTCTGACAGGATTGTAGATGAATGGTTCACAGAACCGACACGTTGATAAATTAGACACATGTGCAACTCTTGGGTATCTTTATTAAGGAAACGTTTCGCCACACAGTGGCTTCATCAGTCCATACACAGGGCACGACCTACTTCCACATTGGGCAAATGTGACACCACCTACGACTGCTGCACCTCTCCTGCCTACGGTTTATAAGCTGCTTCTCCGCTCAAATGCCGTATTCTATTCAAGATTGATGGACTGACCACATCGACTCGAGGTTGAGGGACTGATTACCTCATTCTCCTCCTGTTCTTCAAGTTTCTCCTGTGTATGGACTGATGAAGCCACTGTGTGGCGAAACGTTTCCTTAATAAAGATACCCAAGAGTTGCACATGTGTCTAATTTATCATAGTAGTATGTCACTGATGTCAGCTATGGTCTGTATACCTTGTACATACTTGTAGAAATAAACATTATAATCTTGTTCCATTATTCATTTACTGGAACGAAATAACTTCTTGTATCATCACATTTTTCAATCATTCCATAAAAATGAAGATAAGGAATCATTCTGAAACAACAAATAATACCTTAAAACTCTACCTTTCACGCATTTATGACTTTTTTTCTAATTGTAAACAAAACAGTAATTAACTGCTTAAGAAATCCTGTGTAACTGAAGATGATTAAATAAGTTTGAAGCATTAATATATACTTTTAAAGCTGTATTCTTTTTCATTGAGCTGTCTCTCTCTTTTTTGTTAGATAAGATAAGATTTCGTTCGGATTTTTAACCCCGGAGGGTTAGCCACCCAGGATAACCCAAGAAAGTCAGTGCGTCATCGAGGACTGTCTAACTTATTTCCATTGTGGTCCTTAATCTTGTCCCCCAGGATGCGACCCACACCAGTCGACTAACACCCAGGTACCTATTTGCTGCTAGGTGAACAGGACAACAGGTGTAAGGAAACGTGTCGAAATGTTTCCACCTGCCGGGAATCGAACCCGGTCCCTCCGTGTGTGAAGCGGGAGCTTTAGCCACCAGGCCACCGGGTCTGGTGGCTAAACTCCTACTTAATAATCTATATCTAGTTCTTTAGTGGTATTAAAGCATTATAATTAGTCTGCCAGATATACACAGCATTTCGGGCAGACTAACAATATTTTGTTAAATGTAAACTACATTAGTCTTATACTGCATGCAAGAAATCAAGTGTTTGAATTTTGAATTTCATTTCCCTCTGCCTGTCACTATATATAAAAAAGCAAATAGTTTATTATCACTGTAAGCAAGTTTATTCAGGTACAGGTACACATGAATACAGTTACATAAATTATCATACATAGCAGCATATATGTAAATTACCCACCAAGATATCCCCAAAAAGTAGGATTAAGTGACTTATTTCCATTGGGATCCTTGTCCCAGTCCCTGGATCCATTATGTGCCTCACTAATCTTCTAGCTGCCGCCCAAAGAATAAGTATGCTATGCATAATAAAGATATAAAACTTAAATTTCCCGTCAAATGGGTCAGTATTTTTTTTTCCCGTCCATGAGGCGGCAGGAGAGTTGAGCCGTGGTGACCTTACAGCCCCAGCAACACCAGAGTAACAACAAGAGTTACACTTGACGTTGAGGAACACGCTACCACTCTAGCCTCATTAATACCTTTATTTAGGTACCGGTACACATAAGTACAATTATTATACATAGTGTAAATTACCCAGGATAGCCTAGAGATAGTCAAACTGACTCATTTCCATTGGGATCAGCACTTCCATGGGGTCCTTACTTCCATGGGGTCCTTACTTCCATTGGGGTCTTCACTTCCATGGGGTCCTTACTTCCATGGGGTCCTTACTTCCATGGGGTCCTTACTTCCATGGGGTCCTTACTTCCATGGGGTCCTTACTTCCACTGGGGTCCTCACTTCCATGGGGTCCTCACTTCCATTGGGGTCTTTACTTCCATGGGGTCCTCACTTCCATTGGGGTTCTTACTTCCATTGGGGTCCTCACTTCCATGGGGTCCTTACTCCCATTGGGGTCCTTATTTCCATTGGGTCCTCACTTCCATTGGGGTCCTTACTTCCATTGGGGTCTTCACTTCCACGGGGTCCTTACTTCCATTGGGGTCCTTCCATTGGGGTCCTTACTTTCATTGGGGTCCTTACTTCCATTGGGGTCCTTACTTCCATGGGGTCCTTACTTCCATTGGGGTCCTTACTTCCATGGGGTCCTTACTTCCATTGGGGTCCTTACTTCCATGGGGTCCTTACTTCCATTGGGGTCCTTACTTCCATGGGGTCCTTACTTCCATTGGGTCCTTACTTCCATGGGTCCTTACTTCCATTGGGGTCCTTACTTCCATGGGGTCCTTACTTCCATTGGGGTCCTTACTTCCATGGGGTCCTTACTTCCATTGGGGTCCTTACTTGCATGGGGTCCTTACTTCCATGGGGTCCTTACTTTCATTGGGCCCTTACTTCCATGGGGTCCTTACTTCCATTGGGGTCCTTACTTGCATGGGGTCCTTACTTCCATGGGGTCCTTACTTTCATTGGGCCCTTACTTCCATGGGGTCCTTACTTCCATTGGGGTCCTTACTTGCATGGGGTCCTTACTTCCATGGGGTCCTTACTTTCATTGGGCCCTTACTTCTGTTGGGGTCCTTACTTTGGATACTTACTTCTATTGTAGTCCTTCCATTGGTGTCCTTACTTATTTCCATCAATGTCTACTTATTTCACCTGGGGTCCTTATTTATTTCCACTGGGGTACATCCTCTTAAACTTCATTATTAATGACTGTACTGCAATAATAAATTCTTATTGTCTAGATAAAGTGTTAATTATGTTCCCTGGTAACCTGAAATATAACATGACGTTAAATCATGGAAGCCCCTCCAAGGGGGTACCTGTAAGTAAGTAAGTAAGTAAGTAAGTAAGTAAGTAAGTAAGTAAGTAAGTTTATTCAGGTATACACAAATACAGTTACATAGAATTATCATACATAGCAGCATAAGTGTAGAGAACCTGGGATAACCCAAAAAAGTCAGATAGAGCTGGGGAATGGCTCTTAATCCAGGTAATTGGAGCTCCCCATCCCTCAGATCAAACCTCATTTATCTATCATCCCCCAAGAACTGTATGACTACTAAATTTTCCTGAAATAAACCTTCTCCGAAAATGATACGATGGCGGTGTCGAGGAGGATGTTCATCATGTGGACATTAGGTACAGAGGTACATAGTATGGCCAGGAGCTAGGTGTCGACATTCTGTTGGCTAATCAAGTTTAAGTAGTAATGAGCTTTTTACAATGAGCTCATGTAGTAGCACCCTTGGCTCACACTGAGGGACCAGAGTGCAATCCCCGGTACAGGTGAAAATGTTTGTTGTGTTTCCTTACACCTGCTGTCACTGTTCACTTAGGAATCAGTAGGTACCCGGGTGTTAGTCAACTGTTGTGGATCACATCCTGGGGGTGGAGATGATTAAAACACTCCAATTACAATAGACAGTTTGATGACATGACTTTATTAGGTTATCTTGGGTTACTTGACATAAGTCTGAGTCCGTAGTAAGTTTCTTTACGTACAGGTACTCATAAGTACATTTATCATACATAGAACATAAGAAAGGAGGAACACTGCAGCAGGCCTGTTGGCCCATACTAGGCAGGTCCTTTACAATTTATCCCACTAACAAAACATTTACCCAACCAAATTTTCAAAACTACCCAAGAAATAAGCTCTGATAACTCTATCCACTGTAGATGAATGGTTCAGAGAACTGACACGTTGATAAATTAGACACATGTGCAACAAAGTGTAACTTACACACCAGGATAACCCAAAAAAGCCAGACCAAGTGACTTATGTCCACTGGGTTCCTTGTCCTTCATGAGAAACTTGGCATATTAGACGTGCATAAGATAGTTACGGGTGTTGCGATGCACTGTATATCTGTTGTTCTTGTGCATGACATTATTTGTTGATTAACTGTTGTATTTTCTCTTATTACAGTAAATCATGGACAGGTCATTGATAAGAGAACGAGAGGCCTTCATGAAGAAGGCCTTAAACTCAACGTAAGTTTATTATGATTATCCGATAATGTACTGTATTACCAGTGCCATTTTAATATCTTTCATATTTCACTAAGTATGTTTTGCCCTTATCCTATAAAGATATATATTCTCAGTCTCCACATATTTCTCACTGGAATTAGGAAATACGTATTAATTTTCCCAATAATTAACCCATTGTGCATGATACTACTTTATTAACATATAATGGCTATACTGTTTACACAATTTAATTAAATTTCTTTGCAAATGTCTAAATTCTCATCTGTTAAAATATATTGTTAATTTTCTTGTTGAGTCTTTTATCTTAACTACTGGTATTTCTTATTAATTCCTATCTAAATTATTCTGTGTAATTCTCATACAAAATTTGAATTTCATTTATATTTACAAGTAATTATATTTACAGGTAATATTCAATTAACATTTTTGAGTGTATTGGTGACAATGAAAATTAAATCTATTTCCAGATTAGACATCAAGAAGCGCAGTGTTGCTCCCACCTCTTCAGAGCAAGTCAAGAAGAAGGTCCATAAAGGTCCACCTCCGGATCCCAATGCGTAAGATGAAATGCCTTATTTTTAATAATGACTTAAGAATTAATTTATTATGCGGTCTGTTAGTCAAGACAGCAGAAGGACTCAGTTAAACAACCAAAAGCTCCATTGGGCAGGTTATGATTTCTCAAGACACGGGTTTTGAGAAATCTTTCTATTTCTGTCAAACAAGATATATACATGTATTGTACTCTGCACCCTTATTTACAGGTGCGCCTCGACTTACGACGGGGTTATGTTCTAACAAACCAGTCATAAGTCGAATATGAATATGATATGCTAAATAAATAAGTAAATAAATAACTACTGACACTGAATAAGTAAATCAACAAATAATTACTGTAAATAACTAAATACCAACATTGAAAAGTAAAATGAATACACTTTGTCATGTCATGGACTCTCTAGAATACGTACAAGTTACAGACTTGCCGCCTTCATGCTGGGTAATTATCTTAAGTTTCATCTCCAAAGTATTTGCTTTTGCACCATTGTAAAGTCAAAATATCGTAAGTTGGACCATCGTTGGACCTTGATTTAATGGACTAATAGTGGGACAGCAGCTGGCAGGTAATGGCACTTGTGGTGGAAACAGATGGTTGCTTTGCTGTTATCATAACATTTCTGTAACCAAACAACTTTGTTTCTAAATCAGTTGAACCAGTGGATTGTGTCCCATACTTTTGTTAAATTGAATGTGTACTGTATTACATTGGTAAAGTATAACAACATTCTTGTGTATCACGGCACATTAAGTAACATTATATCTCTTACTCTATATTGGTATAACATGTTATTATACAAGTTTGGTTATGTTTTACAGTATTGTATTATCTCTTACTAGCTATGACCTCAAATTTGGATTTTAAATTGTAAATTTTGAAAAACTATGAAATCCTGAATTATCCAAATAGGAGTAAATTTTTCATAATTTAGTTGTGATCCAGTTTATGTAGAAATATTGTGCTCCCACTGTGATGTAAAGCCAATGAGAACTGTGTAGGTGTTATAAAACATTTAAATATAATGACAACTTATTTTGCCTATGGCAAACCAATATATGGACCTTCTAAAATATGATTTAAGCATCTGTAGGGACCTCAATTTGAGGTCTAAACAAAATCAAATTCAAAAGATATTTTCAGTTGTTTAGGGAATATGATGGTGGTCTTGGGTATGGTCACTGGATCATTTCCCAACATTAGTGGATACAGTGGTGATCCTGAGTGAACGAGTGAACTTAGTGGATACAGTTGTGATCCTGATTGAACGAGTGAGCTTAGTGGATACAGTGGTGATCCTGAGTGAACGAGTGAGCTGGATTGGTTTCCAGCGCTAGTGAGTGTTGTCTTAGTTTGCAAAATTCTTCTTTATGCTTGTTAATATGAGTGTAGTTTAACCCTTTCAGGGTTTCGGCCGCACTAGTACGGCTTACGCACCAGGGTTTTTGACGTACTAGTACGCCTAAATTCTAGCGCCCTCAAATCTAGCGAGAGAAAGCTGGTAGGCCTACATATGAAAGAATGGGTCTATGTGGTCAGTGTGCGCAGTATAAAAAAAATCCTGCAGCACACAGTGCGTAATGAGAAAAAAAAAACTTTTGACCGTGTTTTTGGATTAAAACAGCGAATTTACACTGTATTTTCGTATGGTATTTATTGTTGTATTCTAGTTTTCCTGGTCTCATTTTATAGAATGGAAGACATTACAGAAATTGAGATGATTTTAACTGATTTTACAATGAAAAGTACCTTGAAATTGAGCTCAAAGTAGCAGAAATGTTCGATTTTTACCAAAGTTCAAAAGTAAACAAATCATGCTATGCGTCCAATACACGTCAACTGGTGAGTCTAATATTCTTTCACAAGTGCGCTGATATTATTTATACTATTTCTACACTAATGCAATAGTCTGCATAACAGTAAATCTTCTATTTTTTGTGAGAATAAAAATTCAAAGTGGAAAGCAAAAGAATGTAAGAGGGGCGTGGGGACGTGACTAATGAACAGAGGAAATGTTATTTTAGTGCCAGGAATGTCTTTCTTGTTTATTCTGGACCCTACTTGGAAATTGGCATCTTTTGAAATTTGTGTGAAATTGGCAAAATTGCTAAAATCTGACCATTGTATTGGGTAGTTGAAATCGGTAAATGGGTGGTTTCTTGTACTCATTCGATAGAAAAAATGGAGTTCTAGCAAAATAGTTGACTAGTACACTGAAATTGGCTGAAAATAGGGCTCAAAGTGGGCAAAATCGCCGATGCGTAAACATTGTCAAGACCGCTAACTTCGCGAGAGCATAATTCTGTAAGTTTTCCATCAAATTTCATACTTTTGGTGTCATTATTATCGGGAAAAGATTCTCTTATCTTTTCATAAGAGGGCCTGGCAACCCTGAAAGGGTTAATGTCATGAGTGTAGTAAGGTTGTAAAATCTGTAAAAAATGACGTGGTATATATCAGGTGGTGTAATACAAGTGAATATGAAACTGGAATAAAGAAGTGAGACAAAGATTATTATTATTAAAGATTCGCCGGTATTCTCCCAGCCCGGGCCTTTTCCAAGTGGTGGCCCGGCCTTGGCTCCCTGTCTTGGGAGTGTCTGAGACCTTAGTCTCCCATGGGAGGAGGCATAAGTACCCCCTCATCTTTGGGACCAACTGTCCCCAGGCCTAGCCACAAGCTAGGCATCTCTGGTCTGCCATCCCCACCCCAAGGGGGCTAATGGGAATGGCAGGCTTGTGAGCTGCAAGCTCCAGCTCAGGCACCTACCCTACCCTAGAAGGGCTGGGCATGGTGTCGATGATTGGGACAAAGATGAATATAACTGTGGCAGAAACCATCTTGATTGTAAGTTGTAGTCATGGCAGTGTGCAACTAAGACATAAGACTACAAGGACAAAGATTTCCCTTATATTGCACTTCACTACTTACCCATAAATTAGAAATAAAAACTAGAATACTTTTCAATCTATCCTCAACCATTATCAGGTTATTTATGCAGGTTATTTCTTGAATTGTAGCCACTATATTGTGACTTATACTCTTGTAGTTACAGTGCTTTTCTGAGAGAGAAGAGACATGTGGAGTGCTGTTTTCATGTGATGGTTGTTCCTGCTTTATCTAATGCAGACAGTAGTACCTATAATGTAATCTTATGTAAAAAAATTAGTGCCTATAATCTTATTAAACTATACTCCAGAATATTTTTGTCTTACAATCATATACAGTGACATGCCCTTGTAGTCTTAAGTCGGGCTAAAGTTTGCCCAAAATCTACGCATAACTATGGTTTTTCAACACGTATTCCAGTATCAACCATTTTTGTATAAACATTGTATCGTGTTGAAATATACTTGCATTTATATTTGTATATAACTGTATTGTTTTTACCCAATATTTTTCCGCAGATACAAGAACAAATCTGGCGGCAGTCAGTACAAATTTGGTGTCCTGACAAGAATAGTGAGGCACATGAAGACAAGGCATCAGGATGGTGAGACACACCCTCTGTCAATAGATGAGATCCTGGATGAAACAAACCAGTTAAATGCTGGTCCAAAAGTTAGACAGGTAAAGATTTATATGTATTCTGAACACATTGTTTCTTTCTCATTAAGACAAGGTATCTCAGTGAAGAAAATGCATTCACCATTGCTCATTCTGTAGTTGCCTTTCCAACATCATGAGTAAAAATTTATTGAGAAAAAACTTTGTCTATTACACATGGTAATAAGAAATTGTCTACTAAATTTACATGTACTATTGTTTGGATGTTAAATTAATCATTCTCTCATATGTAATTTTTTACTCAATAATTTTTGTGCTTATGTTTTTGTGTGTTTCAGTGGCTCATATCCGAGGCACTCCCAAATAACCCCAAGGTCCATGAGGTTGAAGGGAAATATGTCTTTAAGCCACCATTGCCAGTTAGAGATAGGAAATCTCTACTTAAGCTCCTTCGGCAGCATGACATGAAGGGCCATGGTGGAGTACTACTCGATGATATTCAAGAGTCTCTCCCTCACTGTGACAAAGTAATGAAGGTTAGCTACTCTAAACCTTTTCTTGTCTTTTTTAAAATATTATATTACAAATACTATGTTTAAGTTTTTTTAAAACAAACATAAGAAATCAACATAGGGGATGTGGAAAAAAGTTCTTCCTCCTTAAGCTGTGCGTGCCGTAAGTGGCGACTAAAATGCCGTGAGCAAGTGGCTAGTAACCCATTCTCCTGTATAAACTACTAATTGTCAAAAGAAAAACTTTCATGACCTAAAAAGAAAAAAACTTTCGTTTTTCTCTTTAGGTCACCCTGCCTTGGTGGGAGACAGCTGGTGCGATGAAAAAATCAAATGTTTTATCCATTTTTTAAATAATTACCCACAGGATTACTATGACTGGATGACCAGTGAAGGACACAGTTAGGTATACTTCCTCTTTCAACAACCCAGCCATATCCCACCGAATTTAGGTATACAATCACTACAAAATTGTTTATTGCAAATTCTCATAAAATACTTTATCTCAACAGCAACTTGATAAAGAGATTCTTCGAATAATACGGCAGTCAGACAAGAAACAAATCATTTTCTACCATGATAAGGGCATTCAGTTCCCAGTGGAAAAGGAGTTCCAACAACTCTGGAGAAACACATCTGTTGATGGCCTTCAAGATGATAACATAGAGGAATACCTAAACAAACAGGTACATATAGTGTAACTATCCAGGTTGTAGCTACAGAAGTAATTTTTTTTTTTTTTAACAAGCCGGCCATCTCCCACTGAGGCAGGGTGATCCAAAAAGAAAGTAAGTCCCCAAAAAGAAAATACTTTCATCATCATTCAACACTTTCACCTCACTCACACTTAATCACTGTTTTTGCAGAGGTGCTCAGAACACAACAGTTTAGAAGCACATACGTATATTTTTTTTTTATTATCACACTGGCCGATTCCCACCAAGGCAGGGTGGCCCGAAAAAGAAAAACTTTCACCATCATTCACTCCATCACTGTCTTGCCAGAAGGGTGCTTTACACTACAGTTTTTAAACTGCAACATTAACACCCCTCCTTCAGAGTGCAGGCACTGTACTTCCCATTTCCAGGACTCAAGTCCGGCTATGTAAAAATAACCAGTTTCCCTGAATCCCTTCACTGAATATTACCCTGCTCACACTCCAACAGATCATCAAGTCCCAAATACCATTTGTCTCCATTCACTCCTATCGAACACGCTCATGCATGCCTGCTGGAAGTCCAAGCCCCTCATGCACAAAACCTCCCTTACCCCTTCCTTCCAACCCTTTCGAGGACGACCCCTAACCCGCCTTCCTTCCACTACAGATTTAAACACTCTCCATGTCATTCTACTTTGATCCATTCTCTCTAAATGAACAAACCACCTCAACAACCCCTCTTCAGCCATCTGACTAATACTTTTATTAACTCCACACCTTCTCCAAATTTCCACACTCCGAATTTTCTGCATAATATTTACACCACACATTGCCCTTAGACAGGACATCTCCACTGCCTCTGACCGCCTCCTCGCTGCTGCATTCACAACCCAAGCTTCACACCCATATAAGAGTGTTGGTACTACTATACTTTCATACATTCCCTTCTTTGCCTCCATTGATAACATTCTTTGTCTCCATATATACCTCAATGCACCACTCACCTTTTTTCCCTCATCAATTCTATGATTAACCTCATCCTTCATAAATCCATCTGCCGACACGTCAACTCCCAAGTATCTGAAAACATTCACTTCTTCCATACTCCTCCTCCCCAATTTGATATCCAATTTTTCTTTATCTAAATCATTTGATACCCTCATCACCTTACTCTTTTCTATGTTCACTTTCAACTTTCTACCTTTACACACACACCCAAACTCATCCACTAACCTTTGCAATTTTTCTTTAGAATCTCCCATAAGCACAGTATCATCAGCAAAAAGCAACTGTGTCAATTCCCATTTTGTATTTGATTCCCCATAATTTAATCCCACCCCTCTCCCGAACACCCTAGCATTTACTTCTTTTATGACCCCATCTATAAATATATTAAACAACCATGGTGACATTACACACCCCTGTCTAAGACCTACTTTTACCGGGAAGTAGTCTCCCTCTCTTCTACACACCCTAACCTGAGTCTCACTATCCTCATAAAAACTCTACAGCATTTAGTAACTTACCACCTATTCCATATACTTGCAACATCTGCCACATTGCTCCCCTATCCACTCTATCATATGCCTTTTCTAAATCCATAAATGCAATAAAAACTTCCCTACCTTTATCTAAATACTGTTCACATATAAGCTTCAATGTAAACACCTGATCAACACATCCCCTACCCACTCTGAAACCTCCTTGCTCATCCGTAATCCTACATTTTGTCTTACCTCTAATTCTTTCAATTATAACCCTACCGTACACTTTTCCTGGTATACTCAGTAAACTTATTCCTCTATAATTTTTACAATCTCTTTTGTCCCCCTTCTCTTTATATAAAGGGACTATACATGCTCTCTGCCAATCCCTAGGTGCCTTCCCCTCTTTCATACATTTATTAAACAAAAATACCAACCACTCCAACACTGTATCCCCCCTGCTTTTAACATTTCTGTCATGATCCCGTCAGTTCCAGCTGCTTTACCCCCTTTCATTCTACATAATGACTCGTGCACCTTCCCCACACTCACATCCTGTTCTTCTTCACTCCTAAAAGATGGTATACCTCCCTGTCCAGTGCATGAAATTACCGCCTCCCTTTCTTCATCAACATTTAAAAGTTCCTCAAAATATTCTCGCCATCTACCCAAAACCTCCATCTCTCCATCTACTAACTCCCCTACTCTGTTTTTAACTGTCAAATCCACTCGTTCTCTAGGCTTTCTTGTTTAACTCCAAAATTTTTTCTTCTTTTCATTAAAATTTCTTGTCAGTGCCTCTCCCACTCTATCATCTGCTCTCCTTTTGCACTCTCTCACCACTCTCTTCACCTTTCTTTTACTCTCCATATACTCTACTCTTATAACACTTCTGCTTTGTAAAAACCTCTCATAAGCTAACTTTTTCTCTTGTATCACACCCTTTACTTTATCATTCCACCAATCACTCCTCTTTCCTCCTGCACCCACCCTCCTATAACCACAAACTTCTGCCCCACATTCTAATACTGCATTTTTAAAACTATTCCAACCCTCTTCAACCCCCCCACTACTCATACTTGCACCAGCCCACCTTTCTGCCAATAGTTGCTCTTATAACTCACCTGAACTTCCTCCTCCCTTAGTTTATACACTTTCACCTCCCTCTTGCTTGTTGTTGCCATCTTCCTCTTGTCCCATCTACCTCTTACTCTAACTGTAGCTACAACTAAATAATGATCCGATATATCAGTTGCCCCTCTATAAACATGTACATCCTGGAGCCTATATATATTCAGTAGGTGACTGACATGCTGGCAGCAAGGGGCTAGTAACCCCTTCTCCTGTATACATTACCCTACCAAGGCAGGGTGGCTTTTTTGGGCCACCTTGCCTTAGTAGGCTACAGTTGGTTTGTTGAAAGAAGATATGTTCAGTAAGATCACAGTAAACAGGTGATATCACAGTATGCAAAATAGCCACTGTGAAAAAATAGTGAACTTATTTTTTATTAGGTGATGAAAGATTGGATATCAGATTGGAGGGAGAGAGTATGGAGGAGGTGAATGTATTCAGATATTTGGGAGTGGACGTGTCAGTGGATGGGTCTATGAAAGATGAGGTGAATCATAGAATTGATGAGGGGGAAAAGGGTGAGTGGTGCACTTAGGAGTCTGTGGAGACAAAGAACTTTGTCCTTGGAGACAAAGAGGGGAATGTATGAGAGTATAGTTTTACCAACGCTCTTATATGGGTGTGAAGCATGGGTGATGAATGTTGCAGCAAGGAGAAGGCTGGAGGCAGTGGAGATGTCATGTCTGAGGGCAATGTGTGGTGTGAATATAATGCAGAGAATTCATAGTTTGGAAGTTAGGAGGAGGTGCGGGATTACCAAAACTGTTGTCCAGAGGGCTGAGGAAGGGTTGTTGAGGTGGTTCGGATATGTAGAGAGAATGGAGCGAAACAGAGTGACTTCAAGAGTGTATCAGTCTGTAGCGGAAGGAAGGCGGGGTAGGGGCCGGCCTAGGAAAGGTTGGAGGGAGGGGTAAAGGAGGTTTTGTGTGCGAGGGGCTTGGACTTCCAGCAGGCATGCGTGAGCGTGTTTGATAGGAGTGAATGGAGACAAATGGCTTTTAATACTTGACGTGCTGTTGGAGTGTGAGCAAAGTAACATTTATGAAGGGGTTCAGTGAAACCGGCAGGCCGGACTTGAGTCCTGGAGATGGGAAGTACAGTGCCTGCACTCTGAAGGAGGGGTGTTAATGTTGCAGTTTAAACTGTAGTGTAAAGCACCCTTCTGGCAAGACAGTGATGGAGTGAATGATGGTGAAAGTTTTTCTTTTTCGGGCCACCCTGCCTTGGTGGGAATCGGCCAGTGTGATAATAAAAAAAATAAATATTTTTATAAGTCCTTGATAATGTGAGAAATCAAGAAATCACTTAGAGGTGCACTATTTTTATCACAGTGGTGGTTTTGCATGCAAGAATATTATGGCTTTTTTCTCTGCTGTAGATTTGCTCTAGGCCCTTGGCAGATACACTAGGCTCACTCATGCCTGAAACAATTCTACATGATAAGAATCTTCAGTACACTTCGTGAACTATACAAATCATGTACAATGCCTGTACTCTAAAGGAGGGGTTTGGGATATTTGAAATTTAGAGTTACATCTAAACTTGTATCCGCACATCTCTGGCAAGACAGTGATAGTATGAATGATAGTGAAAGTGTTTCTCTTTCAGATCACCCTGCCTCGGTTGGATACGGCCAGTGCATATACATATTTGAAACATTATTGCAATAAAAGCTTGTTCTGCAAATTGCATTGTTACTTTACCACTTAGTTCACTACTATATTATGACTGATATTCTTTCTTCCTACAGGGTATAAAGTCTATGCAAGATACAGGACCAAAAGTCAAGCCCATCAGAAAGAAGATGAAGAAGAGTAGAACACGAGCCACCAAGATCTCTGACAACGAGCACATGCAACACGTACTGCAAAATTATGACACTCCTTCATAAACTTTTTTCTCTACACGAAAGACAATAATGTTTATTTGTCTCTATTCAAATAGAAATTATTCTCTTTATTCAAATAACAATTTTATAATACATGTGATGTACTCTTTGTTTACAGTTTATTTTAATAAATAATGTAACTGCTTCAGAAGAAGAGATCTTTAATTTCCATTAAACTTGCAGCCTTCAGGTTTTGTTTTATCACTTAAGATTCAGTGACCAAGAAACTTTAAGAATATGAAAGTACTCTACAAATTAGTTTAAACTTTTTGTCACATGGAACCTTGGTATACGACCAGCTCCCTACTCGAACAAAGTTCAGCACTTGGCCAAACAAATATGACCTGCCAGAACTTCACTTTAAACTATTTCATGTTTCTTCACATTTTTTCGTGTTTTTTGTATTATTTGTATAAATAAGTCACCATGTGGCCTGCGAAGATTAGTGATAACAGCCAACCAAACAGAAAATTGGTTGGGAAGAACTTGTTCGATACTCGAACGGAGCGGCACTCGAACAGCCTTCTGGAATGAATTAAGGTCGTATACCAAGGTTCCACTGTACTCGTATTTATTCTCATAAAGAACAAAAAGGGACAGTACCATGACTGGAACAATGTGTAAATATCCCACTTATGGTGACATTTCAGTCTGACTTGAACTGAAACATCATCATAAGCTGCTTTCTCCTATGTGCGGGTTGTTTGTATATTCACTCCTGTTATAGTAACAACTTTCAAGGGAGACGGATTGGGCACATTGAACTTATCAACTGTAAATGACCTGCATGCTATCCTGATATCATGTCTTTGCCTTTCTTGTGAAGATAACAATAGCTGACATGAAATCATTACAGGCTGGAATAAATGATAGCAACAGAAAAGTCATTCCTTATACAGGAGGGCCCCAGGTTAGGTTTCTGGCTACCGCTGTAAAGCACAAATCGCTGTAAAGTGAATCGTAGACGTTTTCACTTTCATATGCATATAAAAGTCTGATAACATAGCTAGGGTTAAAAAATGCACATACTGTGCACACGTTACTTACCTCACAGTGTTTTCGTCCTTGGCTTATAGTGAGTGGTCAATATATTTATTGTAGGAAGTCTGAATAAATGAAGAATGGGTATAATTGACAATGCTGTATTAGTGAAGCACTGTAAAGTGGGGCCTGCCTGTATGTTTACCAATACATGGAATGTGCAGGTAGTATCAATTATATGTGCTAGAGGTCAGTTGAGGTTGCTGAGATTTGGCAACCACGAAGCTGTACAGGGCTGCTGCGTTCGGATAACTATTTTACGCATCTTACCGTTTTGTCGTAAAAAAATGAAATTGAAAAAAGATTATCTAGACACCTTGCATATTTTTTAATACCTATGAAAGAAGGAGCACTGCAGCAGGCCTACTGGCCCATGCTAGGCAGGTCCAAGTCACACCTACTCAAGAAGGAAAGAGCACTGCAGCAGGCCTACCCCTCAAGGGAGGTTCCTTGATGCTGGTGAGGGGCTCTTGATGTAGGGAATTGGATTTGTGCTCCAGTTCCCTGAATTAAACCTGAATACCTTCCATCCCCTCCCCTCCACAGGCACTGTATAATCCTATGGGTTTAGCTCTTTCCCATTATAACAATGCAGCAGGCCTACTGGCCCATGCTAGGCAGGTCCAAGTCACACCCGTACAAGGAGGGAGCACTGCCGTATGCCTACTGGGCCATGCTAGGCAGGTCCGAGTCACCCACTCAAGAAGGAAGGAGCACTGCAGTATGACTACTGGCCATGGCCCATAGGTATAGTAGGAATCGTGTGTAAGTTATTGCCATGCAACAGCAGCGCTGTATGACCCTAAAGAATTTAGCACTTAGTTATGATTATAATAATGTGAAACATGTAATTAATATCTTTTTAAACCTTTTTTTTTATATCAGAAGCTGTATAGCCCTTGTGGTTTAGCGCTTCTTTTTTTATTATAATAATAATTTTACATCAGATTGTACCTTCAAGGTTATCCTAGATTACTGATCCTTCAAGGTTATCCTGGGTTACTGATCCTTCAAGGTTATCCTGGGTTACTGATCCTTCAAGGTTATCCTGGTTACTGATCCTTCAAGGTTATCCTGGGTTACTGATCCTTCAAGGTTATCCTGGGTTACTGATCCTTCAAGGTTATCCTGGGTTACTGATCCTTCAAGGTTATCCTGGGTTACTGATCCTTCAAGGTTATCCTGGGTTACTGATCCTTCAAGGTTATCCTAGATTACTGATCCTTCAAGGTTATCCTGGGTTACTGATCCTTCAAGGTTATCCTGGGTTACTGATCCTTCAAGGTTATCCTGGGTTACTGATCCTTCAAGGTTATCCTGGGTTACTGATCCTTCAAGGTTATCCTAGATTACTGATCATTCAAGGTTATCCTGGGTTACTGATCCTTCAAGGTTATCCTAGATTACTGATCCTTCAAGGTTATCCTGGGTTACTGATCCTTCAAGGTTATCCTAGATTACTGATCCTTCAAGGTTATCCTGGGTTACTGATCCTTCAAGGTTATCCTAGATTACTGATCCTTCAAGGTTATCCTGGGTTACTGATCTTCAAGGTTATCCTGGGTTACTGATCCTTCAAGGTTATCCTGGGTTACTGATCCTTCAAGGTTATCCTAGATTACTGATCCTTCAAGGTTATCCTGGGTTACTGATCCTTCAAGGTTATCCTAGATTACTGATCCTTCAAGGCTATCCTGGGTTACTGATCCTTCAAGGTTATCCTGGGTTACTGATCCTTCAAGGTTATCCTGGGTTACTGATCCTTCAAGGTTATCCTAGATTACTGATCCTTCAAGGTTATCCTGGGTTACTGATCCTTCAAGGTTATCCTAGATTACTGATCCTTCAAGGTTATCCTGGGTTACTGATCCTTCAAGGTTATCCTAGATTACTGATCCTTCAAGGTTATCCTGGGTTACTGATCCTTCAAGGTTATCCTGGGTTACTGATCCTTCAAGGTTATCCTGGGTTACTGATCCTTCAAGGTTATCCTGGGTTACTGATCCTTCAAGGTTATCCGGGGTTTAAACTGATCCTTCAAGGTTATCCTGGGTTACTGATCCTTCAAGGTTATCCTAGATTACTGATCATTCAAGGTTATAGTGGGTTACTGATCCTTCAAGGTTATCCTAGATTATTGATCATTCAAGGTTATCCTTGGTTACTGATCCTTCAAGGTTATCCTAGATTACTGATCATTCAAGGTTATCCTGGGTTACTGATCTTTCAAGGTTATCCTAGATTACTGATCATTCAAGGTTATCCTGGGTTACTGATCCTTCAAGGTTATCCTAGATTACTGATCATTCAAGGTTATCCTGGGTTACTGATCCTTCAAGGTTATCCTAGATTACTGATCATTCAAGGTTATCCTGGGTTACTGATCCTTCGAGGTTATCCTAGATTACTGATCATTCAAGGTTATCCTGGGTTACTGATCCTTCAAGGTTATCCTAGATTACTGATCATTCAAGGTTATCCTGGGTTGCTGATCCTTCAAGGTTATCTTGGGTTACTGATCCTTCAAGATTATCCTGGGTTACTGATCATTCAAGGTTATCCTAGATTACTGATCATTCAAGGTTATCCTGGGTTACTGATCCTTCAAGGTTATCCTGGGTTACTGATCGTTCAAGGTTATCCTGGGTTACTGATCCTTCAAGGTTATCCTAGATTACTGATCATTCAAGGTTATCCTGGGTTACTGATCCTTCAAGGTTATCCTAGATTACTGATCATTCAAGGTTATCCTGGGTTACTGATCCTTCAAGGTTATCCTAGATTACTGATCATTCAAGGTTATCCTGGGTTACTGATCCTTCAAGTTATCCTAGATTACTAGATCATTCAAGGTTATCCTGGGTTACTGATCCTTCAAGCTTATCCTAGATTACTGATCATTCAAGGTTATCCTGGGTTACTGATCCTTCAAGGTTATCCTGGGTTACTGATCCTTCAAGGTTATCCTGGGTTACTGATCCTTCAAGGTTATCCTGGGTTACTGATCCTTCAAGGTTATCCTGGGTTACTGATCCTTCAAGGTTATCCTGGGTTACTGATCCTTCAAGGTTATCCTGGGTTACTGATCCTTCAAGGTTATCCTAGATTACTGATCATTCAAGGTTATCCTGAGTTACTGATCCTTCAAGGTTATCCTGGGTTACTGATCATTCAAGGTTATCCTGGTTTACTGATCCTTCAAGGTTATCCTAGATTACTGATCATTCAAGGTTATCCTGGGTTACTGATCCTTCAGGTTTATCCTAGATTACTGATCATTCAAGGTTATCCTGGGTTACTGATCCTTCCAAGGTTTATCCTAGATTACTGATCATTCAAGGTTATCCTGGGTTACCTGATCCTTCAAGGTTATCCTAGATTACTGATCATTCAAGGTTATCCTGGGTTACTGATCCTTCAAGGTTATCCTAGATTACTGATCATTCAAGGTTATTCTGGGTTACTGATCCTTCAAGGTTATCCTAGATTACTGATTCAAGGTTATCCTGGGTTACTGATCCTTCAAGGTTATCCTAGATTACTGATCATTCAAGGTTATCCTGGGTTACTGATCCTTCAAGGTTATCCTAGATTACTGATCATTCAAGGTTATCCTTGGTTACTGATCCTTCAAGGTTATCCAAGATTACTGATCCTTCAAGGTTATCCTGGGTTACTGATCCTTCAAGGTTATCCTAGATTACTGATCATTCAAGGTTATCCAGGGTTACTGATCCTTCAAGGTTATCCTAGATTACTGATCATTCAAGGTTATCCTGGGTTACTGATCCTTCAAGGTTATCCTAGATTACTGATCATTCAAGGTTATCCTGGGTTACTGATCCTTCAAGGTTATCCTAGATTACTGATCATTCAAGGTTATCCTGGGTTACTGATCCTTCAAGGTTATCCTAGATTACTGATCATTCAAGGTTATCCTGGGTTACTGATCCTTCAAGGTTATCCTAGATTACTGATCATTCAAGGTTATCCTGGGTTGCTGATCCTTCAAGGTTATCTTGGGTTACTGATCCTTCAAGATTATCCTGGGTTACTGATCCTTCAAGGTTATCCTAGATTACTTATCATTCAAGGTTATCCTGGGT